TTTAATGACGAACGATAATAATAAAGAAAAAATGGTTATCACCATTATGCAGGTTTCAAATATCACAAATAACGTTTGTCGAAAGAAAATAACATAACTTACCTTGCTGTCTAATATCATTTTCAGCATGACTTCTCCAATGTGCACCGGCACTACAAGATGAATATTTGTTAAACGTTTAAAATTACAAAAAAAAACAGTCATATTTAAGAAACTCTATATACACAGTGCTCGTATATTCATTAGATGAAGCTTCTGGGTCATTCGGAAAAATACTTGCAATTATGTGGATTTTAATATCTTTTTCTTGTTGTAATAAAAAAGTTGCGGTAGACAGACCCGAAATACCTGTAAAAAGCAAAGATGTTCGAAAAAAACTTTACAAAAATGTGACATCTCAAAGTAGGTTTTCCATACCCGCGCCCAGTACAACGATATTTTTGTTCATCTTTGAAGAACCTTAAAAGTTTTGTGAACAGTCTTCAAGCAGACAAAGACACGTACGTACGTATCCACGCACAGTTTCAGCAGCTTTTGGTCAATATGTAGTGTATAAAAAAAAATTTATAATACACTGTATGCAATGGTTTCACAAATCTGGACAACACAATACATAAAAAATCATGGAAATCACCTATAGAGAATAGTAAGTATAGCCATGTCAACTCAGAATGGGTCCACTACGTGCGAGAAGTGTGGTGGAAAAGTGAATACCACAACTTCCTGGTGCACTCCGTGCAACGCCGAACTGTTTGAAAAGGATTTTCCAACCTGGACAAGTGGTATTGCCGAAGTTGACGAGTTTCTACGTAATACTCAAATAACTGCTGAGCGGTGTGAGAGTGTTTTCGTATGGGTGGACCCTTCAAAGTTTACTCAACTTGAAAAAGTTGAATACTCTAAAAATAATATGGCTTACTGGAAAGAAGGTCATATTTTAGGTTGGGACTTAAAATCAAATAAAAAAATCCAATACGGTGGCCAGTGGGTTAAGTTGGTGACCAATTATTGTGGCGAAAAACATTTAGCGACAAAGTTTCTTAAATCGGTAAAAAATGATATTATTGTATTATTATTATCATCATTATTATCCATGAATGGTATCGCTCATTATTTATCCCTATATTTAGGAACTCGAATTTTCGAAAAATAATCCGTCCGAACGACTTGTTTACGGAATAACTCGTGACCCTATAACAAATTATTATGCTGTAATTGAAAAATTAGTAGACAAGTGCTCCTCTTGCCATAATGAATGGATGTCACCCCGTTGGTGTCGTGGTTGTAATTCTGGTCATTTTAAATCAGAACGTTCTAATTGGACAAGTGGAAACTCGGAAATTGATAACTATATTTATGAAACACAATTAACTGCCGAATTTCCTGAACAAATCTTGGAATGGATTCCAGAAACTCATTTCACAAATTTTAAACAGATTGGTAAAGGTGGTTATGGTACTGTTTTTATGGCTTACTGGAAAGATAGTCGTATTCGAAAATGGGATTCCAATGCAAATAAATGGGAACGAGGAGATCCGATGTTGGTTGCCCTTAAAGATGTAGAAAGTGGAGGTATCGATGAATTTTTTCGAGAGGTAATTTATTAAACGAAAACATATTAAATGATAATATATTGTTTCTTTTATTTATTAAATATATTTATTAAAAATATGATTATCAAATATACTAATTATATATTACATTAGGTCAAGGCTATGACTCAATGTAGAGAAGTTAATTTGGGATCTTTGGATTGCTATGGCATAACACGACACCCCGAAACACAAAGTTATCTAATTGTCATGCGTTATGTCGAACATGGAAATTTACGAAAGTATCTATCTGATTTTGTAACAAATCCCTGGAAAGACCGTTTAGATAGACTTTGGAGTCTCTCAATTGACCTTCGTAGTATTCACCGTTCAAATCTTGTGCATCGTGACTTACATGCTGGAAATGTACTTCTTGGTGAGAATAAACGTAGCTTTATTGCTGATCTTGGATTAGCTTGCAATGATGGTCAAGCTACAAATGGAAATATAAAAGGTGTATTACCATATGTTGCGCCAGAAATTTTTTGTGGTAAACCCTATACAAAAGCCACGGACATTTACAGTTTTGCCATAATTATGTGGGAATTTACCTCCTCTCAACCGCCTTTTTATGGAATTACGTACAATTTTGATTTAGCGATGAAAATTTGTAACGGGTTAAGACCACCAGTAATTGAAGGAACTCCACAATGTTTTGCTAAATTGATGAAAAAATGTTGGGACCCTGATCCAGATAAGCGCCCCACTGCTAAAGATTTAACGAATACTTTAGAAAAATGGGTTCAAATTCTTTCCGGAAACCAATCAATCGATGATGATGATGGTGATGACATAAGGAATCAATTTACACAAAGTGATTTGAAAAGACAGGAAAATCCATTTCCAGCAGCGCCATTAAACCTTGATACATGCCCTTTGGCCAGTCGCCTTCTTCCAACAGTCCCTCTTCGGACGATCCCCCACTCATGTAAGCTTTTTTTGCTATTGATGTATTTATGTGGCAATGATTTTCAGAATTCTTATATTTACATGCACAATTTAGATGCAGGATACCAAACTACCCAATATGATTTGTACATGCCAGATGCAGATGACCTATCGCTATAACTGTATTTCGTATATTTGATAATTAAATAGGCCAGTCATTTAATTAGGTTATTGTACAACATACATTTCATTCATTCATTCATTTACAAATTTATCCAGCATACTTTATTTCACTGTCTTTAATCTCACATGCTTAATGCTACGTAATACGTATACATTAACGTTAATTATTAAATCGTAACCTTGTTTAGTAAATTAACATTAAATATTAAACTGTAATTTTATCGAGTACGTCAAAATCGTCCAAAAATATTTAATTATCCAATAATTTTTAATTTTTGTTTTTACTTGTTGTGCATCTAAACTGCGTAAATAGGCTGTGTGACATCAAATACGTATATACAGTATGATTTCATACGTACTATTTAAATAATTCCCGAATTTTCGATTTTTTCAAATTTTTGTGTGCTTTACATTTGCTTTGCGAAAACAAATATATATATACGTTTTGATGGTTTTTACTCAAATTGGTTTGGATCAAATTAATAAAATAATTGCTTACAACAAATTAGCAGAATGATTTTTCGGTCGATTCGGTTAAGTTATTATTTCGGCATAATAGATTCAATAAAATTGGTACGTACTAGTGATGCAGTAGAATCGTCCCAATGAAGTCGAATGATAATTGTCACATGGCTATAACTTGCCGTAACTATAGT